TCTAATTTCAGCTTCTGTAATTCTGTCGCACTTCGAGGAACAGTAGGTTTTTCTGACGGTTTTTTCTCAGTATATTCCATTTTGCTCTCGTCCGCCATCTTTGTTATCTAGTATCCAGGGTCTCACGGCAAAACAAAAAACTACATTATGTAATGATCTCCAAAAATGACAGGAAAAAGAGGAGCATGGATGGCCGATGTGTGACAGTATTTGCAGCCGCTGCGGCGATTGGAGCCAGCTTTTATGTCCTTTGGGCTCCTTATGGAAAGAAATCTAAGGCAACAAGAGGTGGTTAGTGTTACTTTGTTCTTTTTAAGACGAAGCACATGTCAACTTAATAGACAACAGCGTCAATAATTTCTTTCATAATCTCACAATCGAAGATTGTGGTTTATTATTCATCACATAAGTTGCATTATCAGTTATATTCCTATCTTTGAAAGTTAAGCTCTCGTCTAGAGTTTAGTAACACTTCTTATCTACTTTGCTTACTAACAGATCGTCCCCCTGGTCTCATGAATCTTGGGAACACTTGTTTTATGAATTCCATATTGCAGGTTTGTACAGTCTAGTCATATGTGTCGGTGGTGTGATGATTTTGGTGAAATTTGTTGGGTTCATTAAAGTAAGGGTTATGTGGGTCATTTAAGCGCAAAGAAGGCAGATATAAATGTATTTTTGCGATCTATAAGTCATGAAATGTTGATGGGATTACAAGATGAAGTTTGACAGGCTAGAGGCACTGGAAGAGTGAAGTGTCCTGCCCAAGGGCACAACACATTGGACTTGGCTCCTCTATTCAGAGTCCAACACATGAGCATTTGAAGTGTAATAATCATGGCTGGGTATCAATGAGGTTTGTTTAACTCCTGGGGGTAGGGGGGGGGNGGACTCCCATATAAAAAGACGGTGTGCTTGTCGTACCTTTTAGAGCTTAAAAAAGCAGTTTTAGTAGCTCTTAGGGTGTTCACCCTTAAAAGTTCCACAGCAGGATCTTTTGCAGTACCTTTTATGGGACTGAGCCAAAAAAAAAAGGCCGAAGATTCTGAATATGTTGTTTTAGAATTGATACCTCTTAGGAATGAAACAAATTCAAGCCACACCCACAAAACAGGACCTTGGTACCTCTTAGGGGTTCTTTTCAAAATTTCTGACAAGCACCCACCTCCTTTGTATATGGGACTCATCCTCCCAGGCTTACACTAGGGTTTCCAGCTACAAAACTCTTGTGACTTCCTCACATGTCTGCATACTTTATCTTTGACGGGTCTTTGGTAGGTCTCTGCAGATTTTAAAGAGCTCTAAGGTTTGTTAAGATTTCTTCACTTGGGAAATTACCAATGCTTGTTGACTATCTCAGCCATATTTATGCTATTTTATGCATATTTTAACCTCCTACAGGTGGTAACCTCTCAGTAACAGATACTGTCTGTCTACTGTTTAACACCTCAGCACGTTCTTTGTAGTTGTTAACACTATACTTACTACTATACATAAATTCATAACTGACACAGGCATAATTCTGGGCCTGTCTGTTAAAATTAAATTTGATGGTGCCTGAATTTAAGTAATGTGCTTTTGGTGTAATTTATTGTTGTATTAAATTTGTTCTTTGATCTTGAAACTTTACTAGGGAATTGCAATCTTGCCATCATTTGTGGCATGGTTACAGGATTTTTCTGCCGACAGTGATGGTAAATCTCTATCCAACTTAGCAATGGAGTTGAAAATACTAGTAAAAGGTCTGTAAAAGTAACTGGAATACAATATCATGATGGTTAGACATTATAAATATTATTTATCATTAGAAAACATTTAAACAGGGAAATTAACATAAGTAAGGTTACATGGGGTTTCGATGACTTCATTTTGTCAATGTCGAAGGGGAAAGCATGTGAAATAAGAAATACATGTGTTGATTGGTCTTCAAGGGTATCTTTTGGAGATCTCTTGTTGAATGAAAACAAAGGAAACCTTTTGTTCTGCTAAACGATGAAGTCACCGAAGCATGGTATTTGCCGCTAGTTGTTCAAACTGATACAAGTTTTATCATTCATATAATTATGCTATTATCTTACTGTTGCTTTGTTAACGCAAGCGAATAAGGCACTGAACGGGCCAGATTTGAGTTTGTTTTGTCGTGACACTGGTTTGATACAAGGTCGATCGATTTTTTTCTGGTCTATTTCTCTACTTCTTTCAAAAATAGAAACATCTATTTTTAAAAAAAGCGTGCTGTTGAAGCTGCTAAAAGCAACTGTTTAAATTCGCGTCACGTCAAAATTCACCTTTGAAGGATTCGCTCCAATGCCGCTTGGAAAACTGAGTTTTTCTGCATACATTATTTCTCAAAAATGAAGTGCAAATCAATGAAAACAATTATTATGCAACAATGCTTTTCATGTCAAAACAAGTCAGTCTACCAAAAATTAGCTTGATCCTGCAAAAAATAAAAATCAACCCAAAAAGCAATATATGCCCTTTTTGCACAAAAGCCTTCAATTATTAATGTATTTAATAAATCTCATTGTCATGGGTATTAGAACAGGTGTGTAACAGAAGCCAGAAAAGTCAAAAGTTTAAAGTTTTGTCTTCCTACTCTTATGTTAGCTTACGCAGATCAATATTAACCTTTGTTTTTGATAGCACATAAGGTGTAATAATATTTACTGGTATTTTATCATTGTGTTTCTATGAAGCTTTGAATAGTGGTTTTGTGGAGGGAGATGATGTCATTTGCCCAGACTCTGTGTTATCTGCTCTTATTTCTCATGGCTGGTTCATACCTACAGAACAGCAGGTCAGTGGTAGCTGACAGTGGAAATAATCCACATTTCTGTACTATGGTTTTGGTTTTAAAGGAATCCATGATAAAATGATGTTGTTCTTGGGGCTCTCATTTAATATACCAGTAATCAGTTTCATGTCTATGGCATCAATAATTGACATATCAGCTTTCTTTTGAGATTTTAAGATTTATGGGTTATTGACCAAGCTTGCTCGGTCAAGATGGCTGGATATTGGCCAAGTTCTTTTTTTCCGTGTTTATGTACCGAGACGGAGTCAAGGTCCATAAACTCACAAAAAAAAGAACGAGGCCAATATCCAGCCATCTTGACCGAACAAGCTTGGTCAATAAAGATTTATTATATGGCTTTCGGGGAAATTTTTCTTGCTGGACGCGGCGGATAGTCCTGAGCAGGCAAGATAGCTCCATCTTGCCCGCTCGGGTAGCCAATCACAGCACTGAATTTGATTCATCTTGCCGCTCATGGAGCTAGCCATATAGTAAGTGTTGTTATTGAATTGACAATATGACATATTGTTTTCACAGGATGCCCATGAATTCTTCCATGTTCTTTCTTCTACTTTAGATGATGAAATGGTAATGATGGCTCTTTATAGACTATTTTAACCCATAAAATATTTTTGCTTGCACGTGATTGGTCTAAACACTTAACATGAATGAATCCAAGAGATATTCTCCAATAATATTTTTGAAAGAACCCATGTGTTGTGAAAAATATTTGAAAGGTAACAAGCTCAATAGCCTCCATTTGGCTTTAACAAAATGCTCAGGTATTTGTCCTTGGACATTATTAGTTCCTCACAGCTCACAGTGTTCCTTGAGCTTCGCACTTGGAAAACTGTTTGCCTCTCAGAACTGAGAATATCTGTGGAGAAAATAATAGCAGAGCTGTGGCAGGCTGAAGGACCACCAAGCAGAGCATCATAACTATAGGAAGAGAACCACATGCAAGCAGAGAAATAGAAAACCATGCAACCATTTTTTCATAGTCAACATGGCAGCCATACTCCAGCTAATACCTAGTCTTGGTTTACGGCATACATCTTTGATATGGGGCATCCGTGTTATGATGAATTGGCACCTGTCAAAACAAGGTATCCACTGACCACTATCAAGTGACCATATCACGAGCTCAAGTTTGTTGCTCATGGAGGTCAAGTGTTTGTTTTTAAAGTTGACCGCTGACCAAGCACTATGTTTTGATTGAATTGCAGGCTCAACTGACCCTAACTTGTAATCAGGGCTGGTTTAATGCTAACCCAGGATTAAAAGTTAACAAGTTTCACCGTTTATGTTTTGTGTAAGTTGAGGTTATTCAAACTCAAAAGAGAAGGCCAAACAACATAAACAGAGAACCTCCCTGCAAAGCTACAAAACTCAAATCAAATTTCTTGCTTATCCTGGGTTAGCTTAATCAGACTTTGAATGACCCAGCCAGAGTTGCACTTTTAGGCTTTGCTTAATCTAGATATTATCCATGCTTATTTTTGTGCTAAATGGAGGCTACTGTTTATGTATTTCTTAAATCTTGCCTGTATATTTGACAAACGGTATTTGCAACTGTTCTAAGTAATCTCCAGTTTTGATATTTAACCCTCAAATTAGCATCAAATTATATTTAAAAAGAAACAAGTCTTGCTCGGTTTGCCTATTGCAATTGTATCAGTATCTGAAACTATTCATCTTTAAACAGATAATATGTACAGCTGAACCTCCCCATAACCAACCACCCCAAATATCCAGTTGAATTCTGATGACAACCATTAGTGCTAGTCTTTAATCTCATTCACTTACTGCACTGTTTACTGAAAGGTCTTTGTTCAATCTTTTAAGGAGACTTATACATTCATTTATGGACTATAGACCTTGCCATTTCTTTTTAGTTTTATCATTATTGTTATATACACCTCAAATGTTTGGCTCACATCCTTGATTCCTAACAATGACCCAAATATAATTTGAAGTATAAAATCCCACCTGGTAATACACCGTGTCCTGGAAAAATAAGTCCAGCAAAAAGCGTTTTGAACAAATATAAGCCCAGGACTTGGATAGTGCATTTATAATGCAATGTAATTCTAATCACAGGGTGAACCTGCAGGTGTGATGAACCTAGGTGATATTGCTACAGTTGAGGTTAGTGATAATGAATTATGTGTTATAAAGTCACCCAAAATTTTTTCCTTGGTTTACTGGATGAGAGGGCTCTGTCTGTTGAAGAATTTAATGTCACTTTGGCCCAGTTAAGACTCTCTGCTTCTCCCATGCTGAACTTAATTCAATTAGCTAGGTTTGACTGTAGTGTGAAAGAAATGCGACTCTGACTCAGTCTTTGTACCAGAGTTGTACCAACTTTTGGATTTACTGATGCTTCATAACAAAAATCTCCTTGTAATTCCCAGTGGGATTGCAATCCAACCAAAATATTTTATGAATTTTGTTTGGCACAGCAGAAGCATGTTGTTGAATCACTGCCATGCCAGAGTCATGTAGCATGGCAGAGCTTGTCAAACTTAACTTCTTGCTGAACTCAAGTCAAGATTTTCATTCACATTTGTGAGTGTATTCAGTGTAGCAAGTGATGTGCTGTCATTTACAGAAACATGATGATTCAATTGAAGAGGACACATCCATGGTACACAGAAGCAAAGGTACCTAGTGCTTGTGTGTTATTATGTGTCAAATTTGGTCATGCACAATATAAATACTAAGTTTTGAGTGTCAGTACAGGGAAAGTGTAATATTTAAAGAAACTTTTTGGAACATGGCTGACAATATTTTGCGTCTTCTTTGCATCTCTACAAAATAATGATTCTGTCAATAAAATGTGAACCTGTCATTTTAGTGCCCATCAAAAGAGACTGCTGTAATAAACCTCATCTGCCATTCCATGGCTTACTGGCAAGCCAGCTGGTGTGTAAACAATGTGGAGCAAAGGTACATTTCACCCACTGACACAGTTCAACTATGGCAGATTTTTAATGTATGTAAATAATTAAGGTATTTTTTAATGTTCCCTAAAGGGGAAGGTTGGCTTACAATGCTTGACTGATTCACATTCTTGTCTGTTTTGTGCATTGAGATTATTCTACAAGCTTTGGTTACTCCAAATACAGATTAAGTGAAATTTGCATCTTTTCCTTGTAAAATGCATACCTTTTACTGACTGAGTTTGAGGTCCGTACTGTAAGTTATGGACTGAGTTTTTTCCTGCTTCAATTTATGGCCCAAGCGTGAAGCGTTCTGGCCGTAAATCGAAGGGGAAAAACAAAGATCCGGAACTCATAGTACGGACCAAGAAGACAAGGTTAGTAAGATATTTATTATATCTCTACAGTGTGTTTGACAGGTTTAGGAATGATTTCTATTCATGTGGAACAGCTTCAAATTTCTGACGCACCTCGAAAGCAAAACAAGTCAATTCGAAATCGCTTTTAAGTAGTTAGCACACTTTTATACACAATTTAGAGTAATAGAAAGTTGTAAACTTGTACTTGCTATAAAAGTTAAGAACAGATGGCAATAAATCATGAAACAGTCTTGCAACAAAACCAACTTTTGACCAATCACAACGTGTCTACTGACTGAGACATATAATAAAGTATTTTACACAATGATAGGAAATGACAGATGTCAGACGGGTCTTTAATTTTTTATTCTCTTTTGTTTAAGTTTTTAGAACCCATCTCCAGATCCAGGGTACATGTGATACAAGTATCAAAACTGCGTTTTTTTGTGATAATTTTTTTTTTCTTTTTTTTGCACAGTGCCCAGTTAAGTTTGACAGTTATGATAGCCTGTCCCTCAGTTTACCAACAACCTTTCAGGTATTTTAATATTCAAGTTTATCCTGGAATTGTGGAAAGGTGGGTAGTCCACAATGTTTTAGATAGATGTATTCCTCTGGAACCATTGAACCCTACTGGCTCCTTTTCAGATCTCTGATTTGTGACACCAAACAGACTAGGATGTCACTAAGGGCTGGCTACAGGCTAATTTTGCCAGCTGAAAGAGAACTTAAATCCAGTTGAAATTTTGTACATGAAAGCAACGACTGAGATAAAACCTTTGGAGCTGCCAAAGCCAGAATAAACAGCTGGACTTGTTAATGATTTGGCTTAGTGTTTTCTAGGTGACTTCCTAGTTATGTCACTACAACTCTGCAGGAACAAAACTTAAACCAAGAGAATAACGATATAAATAAAGAGAAAATCATCAGTGAGGGGATTCTGTGTTGATGTGCCACCAAACTCTTGGAGCTAGCTTATTCAACGGAAACAACAACCAGTATGGAGAATTCATCTTTAAACCCTTATCATATGATTCTGTCTACAGATGGGCCTGGCACTAGAGGACCTGTTACATATGTTTGTTTGTTCAGAGACAGTGGATGCAGTCGAGTGTCATGGCTGCCGACAGCAGCAAAACACAGATGACTCAACCAGTGCTGTCAGGACTACATTTATCAAACGGCTCACACTAGGAAAAGTAACTGACTTATATTCGATCTTTTTTGTTTCGTTTTTTTTTTAATTAGGGTGGGCGTGCAAAACAGTGGTGATTCCCAATGAATTCAATTGTGTGGTGTAAACTTAGTAGTATATAATAATCTTGACAGCTGTAATTTGACATTTTATGGGGCCGAACATGGATCAATACGTAATTTAAAACAAATCAGGCATTGCTAGGTAACGTAACAGGTGCTTTGGACATGTGCCAAGCTACATTGCTTGGTGACAAGACATACCTTATGGACCTTATGGCATTAAGATGGCATGATAATTTTCTTGGTACACGTATATTCTTCCAAATTACAACACTTCATCATTCATAGTGGTGTTAAAAAGATTTGGCTAAATGGTATTTCACGGCTAAGTCAGTCTTTGCCTGTTTTAATTTCCTGTTGTTTATTTTCAGTTACCACAGTGTCTTTGTATCCACATTCAAAGAACTTACTGGCACGCCAATGGCGTCCCGTATAAAAACAACTCCTTCATTAAATTTCCAGAGTTTCTTGATATGGAGCCGTTTTTATACGAGCCTTTGGAGCCGAAAAACTGCTCCCAAAAGGACTGTGCGATTAAAGATACACGTAAGATTGCCTCACTCTCAAATGGAGGTCTTCAAGTGACTGCAGCCAGGGACATGGAGCTGAATGGTTATCTAAATGAACTAGCCACTTCGTTCATTAAAGCAAACACAAAGAGGTAAACAATGATTTGTTAAGAACTTGTTCAGTCATGTACAAGATTAATGTCCCTTACTGTGATTTGTGTTATGCGATATTTTCCCGCACTTACCATCGGCTGCGAAATCCTTCAGATTTTGATTGGTTAATTGCGTGGTCGCAATAACTTTGGCATATAATTGGTTAAAGCCGCAGTTGGGGTCACACATTATACAATAGCATGTTTACTGTATTATGCAGCATTTGGCTACACTACGCACTTGCTCTCTCGCATAATTCTACCCAACGAGCGCAGCCAGTTCTCTCTATGCTGTAATTTAATGGTGAAGATTAAAGTTCTTGGACCAGGAAGTCGGGGGAGGGGAGGTTGAAGGTTGTTTCTTTGTATTTATCATTAGAGAGATAAAAGGGACCTTTCATCACGGAAGCAGTATGACCATGCGCTCCTCAGCAACATGGTCCAGTAAGTTTTTTTTATCATTATAAAGTTTCGGAAACCGAAAGATGTTGGGTTAAGTCTGGATAGTGTTTGACGCCTTTATTTTGTCTCTGTTTTACAGTAGCGGCCGTGCAGTTTTCAAACTAATGGCGGTTGTTGTTCACATGGGATCCGTGGATGATGGTCATTACGTCACTTACAGGAGATTTGAAACTCCCCAAGGCAATGAACATGCGTCCAAGTGGATTTACACGTCAGACGAAATTGTGGAGGCCGCGTCGCGTGACCAAGCCCTATCAAGCTGCGCTTATATGCTATTCTACGAGAGAACTACCAGATAGCTCGAATAACGCGTACATGTTTGGTTAGCGTGTTGCGTTACATCTTTTTTAAATATAATTCTACAGGCGTAACGCGGTGACTGCCAATAAACTGACTAGATGTGATTCTTTCAAATTTTGTAGGTCTAACGTATTTACTAAGACTTCACAACATATTGGTAGATGTTGTCCTGTTTCAAATGATGTATGCTGTAATCTGTAATCTAGATGCCTTTCTTATATGGACCTGACGTATAAACAGGTTTTATTCAGAGGTTGCTGCGTATCAATAAAATTATGGTCGTCTTCTGAAACTACAACAGCTTCAGCTACACGTTATTGTTAAAAGCCAAGCGACATGCATTTATACATCTATATTATCGTTAAGATAAAGTTCTAGTTAGTTTACGGATCTTATAATGCAGACGCGTCTATGCTTTGGGTGGTATTGCCGCTTCTCCAGGTTGTCCTCCCTCTCCCGGGGCCGCCGAATACTGGGGTGGAGGGTACTGGCCGACTTGAGCTGCGGGGTACTGGGGATATTGTTGTACAGGATTGTGGTGGACTGGGTAACCCTCTGCAGGGTACTGGGTGGTAGTGTAAAGTACAGAGGACTGGGTCATAGACGGCTGCTGAACCACAACCACTGCGCCTGGTTGCTGTGACGAGATAAGATGAACAAGAGTAATCAAACTTAAAACAAGTTTCACCCATGACGAGTGTCCTTGCTGGAAAGCTGGAATGCCAATCGACCAAGAGACGGCGTCAAGAAAAAAACCGCAAAACTGGCCGCTAATACAGCAGCCTATATGTAACTGAATAAAATATTACCTGATTTCTAGCGCAGCACGTGCCCATGCATCCCACAATGGAGCCAGCGAGTGAAACGATGGTGCCAATCGCAGAAAATATTGTCAGAGCCAGGAACATCGCGTCAATGGAGGAGATCAGATCACACGTCTCCACTGGTAAAATAGCAAAGATTTGTTAACAAGAAGGCGCTATTCTCTCCTAAAATTCCAAACAGTTTTAGTGTAAATCCACGAGCGTTCTATCACGAATTTTTTCTCAGATTGGCTACGCTACTCACTATCTCTTCCGTAATAGATAGATAGCAGCGTAGCAGTGTGCCCTTGTCAACAAAATGACGGCCGCTTCTTGGCGTTTTCCAAGTGTCTGTGAAAAGGATTTAGAGAAACTTTTGAACGACTAGTAAATTTTTACTAAATCAATTAGATTATTCG